CCCCCAAAACCCCAAAACCCCAAAACCCCGGGTTGGCTATTCACCAATGAATTAAATGTGGTTTTTAGTTAGTTCAATTAGGTTAAAAGGGAGAATGGGTTATGATAGTGGGGTTAGATTCATGAAAAAGTACTTTTTGAATTTACTGTTGTTCTGTGCGTTCTGGATAGGCGATATAGGGCTTTCTCGTAGTTTAGAGCTTGGTTCGGTGAGTAATAGGAAATTCGAATTTTCTGAAAAATTATCACCGTGAGTAAACTTTAATCATACCTACTCAGACTGGTCCATGGCTAAAATATTCTATTTTATAATAAAGTTGTTGACGAATTCGTGTTGATATTATACAATCTTGAGAATATTTTTCTATCATCACACCTTCTCTGTTAATAAATTTAACAGTTCGATGTTAAGACTCCCAAGTTGAAATATAACTTAGGTTTTGAAGTTTGTATAAAAATTTACACTTTTTAGATCAATTGGGTACACTAAGTCATGCAGAGATTGTATTGCTATTAAATATAATAGTATTAAGATTGGATATATGATTGAGAACAACCTGAAGCTGAGCTTCACCGAACATTCACTAACTTGGTATTTCGATAGATCTGATCTGATTCCTAAATTTGAAGGAGTGTCAAAGTATAATAGCTTAGTGACCCCTACTGTATATAAGGCTAGTAAAGTCTTTAGTATATCCTCTAAGTGTTGCACTCTTTACTTCGATTTTCAATAATAATTCTACTATAACCTCTTTCTTTCGCTCTTTGGGAAGAGATAGAAGAAAGAAAGTTTGTATACTTTGACAACCGAAAGATGCTAGAGAAATTTTCATGTTTCATTAAATGCGAATAAGAGGTAGAATGGATAAAGTTCTTTCTAGTAAAAGAGCTCTAGTCAAGTGCAACAAATTTGTTTTATCCACCCGTCTAGTTTGATGAATGTTCAGTATTTACATGAATCGAAGAGAGTAAATAGAATCATAAAAAGTAAACCGAGTTGTCAAATTTCGGATAAATGTTGCGGAATCTTCTATCCTGACGATACTGGCCTTCCCTGGTGTCTATCACCAATAAAATTAAGTGATTAAGTCTTCCATAACCAATACCGAACATATTTTAAGGTAAAATTATTATGATAGGAAATTATGTATTAAGATTATTTTCTGAGTTGGTGGCATCTCATTAATACTGAAGAGCCATCACATCTCAAAATTATAGATGCTCCTTTGGATATAGATGCTTATTCTGACGAAAAAATGTTGAACCTTCCTGTGCTGACCTCGAACACCGCGTTGGGATCGAACCCGAGGAGATTGGCATCCAATCCTTCAAATGGATTTGAAGAAACTTTCGCTGGTTGTGATACTTCTCTTCCAAACTTTTTGCTCTTGGCTTTTTGTGGAAAGAGGCAGATTTTAGCCTTCTTAACCTTGATGTTATTCGTTAAACTTCTTTTGATTCTTTTATCTTTCATTTTTAGTTGAATAATTGTTAAAATTAATAAGACCAACGCTTATAAGCTTTTATGGGGTTTTGGGGTTTTGGGGTTTTGGGGTTTTGGGG